CTAGAGTACTGCACTTGAATCCACGTACATGTATATGTAATCGCTTCCTTATATTAAATTAAAAGCGCATTTCAAAAGTTTATCTACACCGCTTTCAAGATGGCTAGGTTTTTTGTCTAAAGAATAGAACATTGGGAAATCGCTTCGTTATAAATCTTAGCATAAGACACAACGTATCGTAAAGCTATCCGAATCAGAATTATTCAATCAAACTGAAACTTATGATGTGTCACAATGTTGCTTGAAGTTCCCGGTAAACGACTTACCTCTATGATAATACTGCAGGCAAAGTTTGTAATATTCCGGTAAAGAAAATCCATAATTGTACGGTTCTTCTTTGGCTCCTTTTTCTTGAGCTCCTCCGGTTTCGATAGAGGTGTTCTGGTCCTCAGTAATTGTTAAATCTTGTGGATTTTCGGCAATCTCAAGATTGGGTTCACCGTCCGCCATATTGCCACGAGTACGAACCAATAACACACGAACGCGCATGCACATATTTTCACTGTAACCGGAACCGGAAACGAATGGATCCAGACGAATAAAGGGGACAAATAAAGGATAAATGAAGAAAACTAGACCAAATGCGTTATTTTTCTATGATTATTATTTTTAATTATTATTATAGAGATTCGTTTAGTCAGTAATTTACTTCTCCAATATTTAAACCCAAGAGGTTTTCTTTCAATTTCGATCAATCCCGTCACCCCCGGGGGAGCGGGAGGGGGGAGTGAGAACGGGGAGGCTCCGCCCGAAAGGGGAATTTTTTTCAGGTTTGAGGAATACTAGGGGCCGCCCCTGGCCCCGCCCCTGAGGAATACAAAAGGGCAGGGATTTTGCAAGTTTAGTCATGTGAAAGGGTAGGGAAACCTGTCCTGCCTTTAATCAAATATTTCGAGCAGACGTACCTTGTGGTTGTAGACATGCAGCACTACATGAAAATGAAAAAGAGACTTCTCCCATTTTTTGGGGACTTATTCACAATACAGGCTAGTTATTTAACTATGTGGAAGGGGAACCTTTTTTATTCAATTAAAGCTATACGAAAGTGGTACCTCTTCTGTCAAAATGGTGTACAAAATGGTCAGGGATTAGACCTCGAGGCGGAGCCTCCTCGTATAAAAGTTTGTAGAGTACCTCCTACCCCACCCCCTCCCCCTCACTCGCTCCACGGGTCCCGACACCCTTCCACCCTTCTTGCGCCGAAAACATGCTGGGACCTGGATGTGTTAAAAATTAAAGAACATAAAAGATCCTAAAAGAGAAGAGAGACTAGACTGACGATTCTGGCAAGATCGTCATGGTCCTCATGATCACGTGATATTTACAGAGCTTTTACAAAACTAACAATATTAATGTTTGCAAAATAGTCTGGTCGCTAAAACTGACTGTACTCTAATAACATTTTTTTTTTTCGCGTGAGGATTCTGTGGTCACGATACCGACATCTTGTTTGAAGCCTTTCTGCCAAGTAACCTGATTTTAAACAAAGCACTTATAACCATTACTTATTTTTTGATCGAGAAATGTATATTCGTAGTTGTGCGCAGCTGGATCGCATGTGGACCTGACTGTCACGCTCGCTGTAGTACAATAGGGGTCAAAATAACAAGACGGTGTTGGATATACACCTTATTAGATGACAGCCTTGGCAAATATCACGCAAGCCGGCTTTCTCCTGCAAGCAGCTGCACTTATTAGCAGTCAAAATGGATGCGTTCGAGAGCATATTTTGCCTTCTGCTCTTTATTCTTGTCATGAACCCAAATCATGCAACAGCCGAGAAGTCTGCGTGTCGCAGCGAGATTTTCTGTCGGGGTGATCTGCTACGCAAAGTTCAAATGGCCCGCATTTTCAACGATTCCAAGGCGTTTGTGGACATGAGACTGCAGAAGGACGAAACGGATGTTCTCCGATCTTTCAAAGCTTTGCCAGATAACCCTTCCGAAGATCAAGTGTNTGGCCCGCATTTTCAACGATTCCAAGGCGTTTGTGGACATGAGACTGCAGAAGGACGAAACGGATGTTCTCCGATCTTTCAAAGCTTTGCCAGATAACCCTTCCGAAGATCAAGTGTTCAGGTTTGTGAAGGATAACTTTCTTCCAGCAGGGCATGATTTGGAGGAGTGGTCGCCACCAGACTGGAGAGAAAACCCCGAGTTTATTAAACGTATCAAGGACGCTAACCTCAGGGACTTCGCTTCAAAGCTCAATGAATTGTGGAAGAAACTAGGAAGAAAGATCAGCGACGAAGCCCGACAAAACCCTGCCCGATCTTCCCTGATTTTGGTCAAGAATCCATTTATTGTTCCCGGTGGAAGATTTCGTGAATATTACTATTGGGATTCCTACTGGCTTGTAGACGGATTGCTCGTTTGCGGCATGAAGGATACCGTCAAAGGAATGATTGACAACTTTGTCCAGTTGGTGAAGACCTATGGGTTTGTCCCAAATGGTGGTCGCATTTACTACACGAACCGAAGCCAGCCCCCTTTTTTGATCCCCATTGTGGAACTTTACCTTAACAACACTGGCGACGAAGACTACGTCAAGTCAATTCTAGATGACTTGGAGAAAGAATACACTTTCTGGAGGGAAAATCGCAACGTTGAAGTTGAAGTGTCCTCAGGAAAATATAACCTGTCGATTTATTCCGCTAACATGGACACCCCACGACCAGAATCTTACTACGAAGACTTTCATACAGCTCAAGCAATACCTGAAAATGCCAGACCAGCTTTGTACCAAGACATAGCCTCCGCTGCCGAGAGTGGGTGGGACTTTTCCACCCGGTGGTTTAGCCGCACGAGGTCAGAGCAGGGATCCCTTAGTGGCACCCGAACACGGCAGATTGTCCCCACGGATTTGAACAGTGTCCTGTATCTCAACGAAAAACTTCTAGAGAAGTTCTTTCGCATGGCCGGGAACACAGCTAAAGCAGATCAATACAAAGGGTTTTCAGAAGCCCGTCTAGCTGCTATCGAAGCTGTGTTGTGCGACAATAAAACGGGTTTGTGGCTCGATTATGATCGGCAGTTGAAAAAGAAGAGGCATTATTTTTACGCTGCTAGCATTGTACCACTGTGGGCTGGAGTTCACCGGGGCAACCCGGCAAAAGAAAGCCTTGTTCTCCGCGCGCTCAAGCGACTTAAAGTTCTCGATTACCCAGGGGGATTTCCCACTTCCCTATCGACATCCGGCCAGCAATGGGATTTCCCAAACGCCTGGCCCCCTCTGCAGCATATGTTCATAGAAGGCCTCGCACAGTCTAGCAGTAAAGAACTCCAGGACGAAGCCTTGAAATTCGCGCAGAAGTGGATCACTACGAACTACAAGGCTTGGCGCTCCACAGGTCACATGTTTGAAAAGTTCAACGTGAGTGTGCAAGGCGCTCCAGGGGGAGGGGGTGAGTATAAAATTCAGATCGGGTTTGGCTGGACCAATGGCGTTGTATTGGATATGTTACGCCGATATCCTGACAAGTTAGTGAGTGGAGAAAATCCCACAACACGATCCGCCCGGCCGGTAGTGAAAGCCGAAGGATATATAGTGCTAATGACCTTCACCGTCTTGTTTTGCAGTATTGTTTTGAGTGTTTTTGTATTCGCAGTCTAAAGTTTATTTCCGCGAAAATTTGCCAACATTGTGGCTTGCGTGACGTATTTTAATGTGTCTCAAATGACTGCTGTCACGCAAGCGTCAGTGTAATACTTATTCTTTTATAGTGAAGACATGACAGACTGTAGCAGTGTAGATCTTATGCGAGTTGTTTGCAATAACGAAGCAACTGTTTAGGCTGAGAGAAACATGTTAACTTAAAAAATAAGTTATTTTGTCTTATTTCCCTATAATATCAGAAAACGAGGTCCAGCCTAACAAAAATCAGCTGTAAACCCTCATTTGAAAACCACGAAGTCGAATTCTCTATCCCTTCCGATCGAGCCTGGAGCAAAGAGCGGGGGATTAATTTTATAAGCTCTAATTCCTTCATCAACTGTTTTATGTCGGCCTTCCGGAAATATGATTTTCTTTCAGTGATTTTATTCTCGTTTTCCCCCAACATTTCAATGCGATTTCGATCATATTTTTAGTTAGAGTAGGTAGAAGAGAGAGAAAAATTGGGGGTGGTGGCGAGGGTTTGTTGCTCTCTTTATATATACTCTCCTATTAGCAAACCTTCTTTTGGCTTGTCACGCAATTATTCTACCCTGACTGAAGAAAGGATTTCCCCAAGGGAAACAAGGTCGAGGATTGCGTGAAGAAACCAACGCCAAAAGGGTGTGGGGGAGGCGAATGTATTTCCAGGCTAGGACTGACGGATCTAAGTAAAAATAATTTTTAACTTTTGATATTTTGGCCTATCATTTTCCTGGTAGACTGGATCTAAATGTTACGTTTTGTTTCCAACAAAAAAAATACATTATTATTTTCGATTAATTTATACACAGCAGTAAGAGTAGACACATTTTTCACTCTGTGCAGCTTGAGACGCGGATGAGTGCATAGAAGATAAAGTAACAATATTCGAATTCATAAAGAAATAAAATTAGATTGGAAGGCTTCATTCTTTATTCATTTTGTTGCATCGTCACGCGGGAAGTACGTCGCGCAATCAATTTGTCTTCGCGTGAAGCAATCTTTTTGAAACGCATGTGTTTGGACTTGACATGGTTTCGAAAACAATCTCTTGTTACGTCTGAAAGAAACTCTCTACTGAGTCCGCCGCGGGATAAAATACTGAATCTCTGAAGTGCACTCCATCCAAGGTTCCTCCAGGGTAGGAACTAGAAACTGGGTACACATCCAGCACTATGTAGCCAGCCTTGCACATCGCCCAGTTGGCATAAGCGTTAAAAAGCTGTATACGCTGCAAAAGGTAAACCAAATATTGAAAATAAATTACTGAACTATATTAATGAAAGAGAACTATATTCGGGCTGTAGAAACCCTCCCTTTCCTCGGATGTCGCAGAAATTAACCGACACGTCATCTGTACTGTAATCAACTTAAGTTTTGTGAAGTCGCGGGTTGTGACGTAGTCTCCTTCGCAGCCGTTATCAACCTCGTATCCATGTTCTCTCTCTCCTCCGAGGGGAGGAAGAGAACAGAGAGCCTGGGAATGAGGTTGAGCCGTTATAAGAGACTAGCTGTGACGTGGACTCCGAGCAAACTCTGATCTAACCAGCCGTACCCTAAGTCAATTTTTAATATTAAAGAAATAAATATTGTCTGGAAATTTATTTTCCAAACCGCGAGGGGATTTGCCAGACTTTCAAGCCCCTCAGACATTTACGTTTAAATCTAGTTTTTCCAAGAGAGAAACCATGCATGCAGGTAATCTCATCGGCGCTTGAATTTAACTCAGGTCACATTGTAGCAAGGCATAAAGAAAGAATTTCTGCGTTATATACTCCGCTCTCCTAGCTAGATTGGGCGCAAGTTTATGTTTCTCCTAACACTTCACCTAGTAACTGTTTACACGCCTGATTAGCCGGGAAAGATAAATCAGTGAAAGCAAAGTTTTTTGCCTAAGAACAAAACGCGAGGAAGCCTGGCCGTGCGCTCAAACGCGTAGGTCTCGAAGCGGTGTCCAACACGCNGGGGGGGGGGGGCTTATTTGAAGGATAGAACGTCAACAAACTGCAACAAATCCCTCTTGCCAGTCAGTGCATCTATTCGCAAAACAAACCGTGTTGTTTGTATTCTGAAATGCACCTCACCTGCTCAGTGTGAAAACGCCGGAAGCAACCGCTGTACAATTCTCTTTGATCATGGATGGCAGTGATACTCTTCCAGATAACTGTTCCTCGATAGTAGCGCTTCAGTACGCTAATAAACCCATTGATAACCTTCTGATAATGGTAGAAGCTGGCGCTCTTCAGCAAATGCACGCCCGCGTTCAAGATCAGCGCACTGTCCTGATCCATATCGGAACGCGTAACAACGCTCTGCAGTTCGTAAAGGATTCTGGGAATATTTATGGGTTTCCGTCCAAACATCAAGTTCATTTCGTCTTTGGCAGTCTGTTTTAATACATACACCCATAACATGGTGTGATAACAGGCGCGGAACACTTGCCAACACAAACGTCTTTTTAAGATGGACTCATAGAAATAGCGGTTCAGAGAGTCGCCGTAAACCCACAACACACCTCGGCCTTGTTGGTGTCCTGATCTTCCAAGGCTCGTGGGAGAACCTGTGGAAAGTAAGGAAAGCGCCTAGTTTTGGCTGTTTGCTTTTGCTACTGTTTGTCATTCATAAAGCTCACAATTTGCTTGACGTACAGTGCCCTCATTCTCGAACTTTGCCCCCTCCCCACGATTGAGAAGAGAATCTAAGCACGGAGTCGAATGCATCAACCATGAGGCCTTCATGATAAATGCTAATTAATTGATCGATTAATTAATTAATTAATTAATTAATTAATTAATGCCTTTCTCACTGTCGCCCAAGCCGTCAGCTCATGGGCTTATTAAACATGCAGCTAGTCTGCTATCTTGTTTGCTTAGTTATTGTTTTAATGCCACAGCACTAACTCTCTGGTATCAACGCTATTTTCAATCGTTCATTATAAACCATATCCTTATTGTTTGTTAGGCCAAGTGACATTTGAACGCTTCGTTATTTCTGTTGTTAGACTTAATGGTGCTTTAATGTTCTGCAAATGACTTATTTCCGTTTCTTCTTTTCTTTGTCCCTTCATTTCTTTTCCTTATCTCTCTCTGTTGTCTTCTGAAATGAAATTTGCATGGACACAATATTTCTCATGTTGTTCTACAAAGTGGTTACCTGTTTCATATGGCCGCCATTGCTCTCCGAACCACGCACCGTATCCATCTAACAGCAGATTACATTTCTCCCGACATGCAGTTTGACTTACTGCTTTGAAAGCGTTGAGTTCTGAGCAACACACAGAAAAACGCATTGACTACAAGGACACTGAGGTATAACTCTGAAACAGTGTTAGTGCAAAAATATGCCCGGATAGTCATCCTTTGGTCTTATATGTTGCAGGAAGCGAAGCTCAAACAGAATATTTAAAAAACAGTGATGAGTTTTTAAGAAAAAATATCTTTCCATATTGAGGAAGCCAAATGGAAGCTGTTGTATATATTATCCATTTAACACAAGGTCAATCAGTTGGTAAATTCCGGCCAGTGAGTTATCAAACGAAATTCCATTCTATTGGCTTTAAAAAATCTTCCTAGCCACTTCAAAAAGTTTAGATATTTTTTTAGACATGTCGAATTTTGAAAACGGGCGACATTGCTAACCAGTCTTAACTCAAAATGTGTGAAGGACTTCGAACAACAATCACACAGTCGTTTTGCCTTTTATTCTCTACCAAAATATTTACCCTTGGTTATCAATCCGGATGATGTGGGAACAGTAAATGTGATTTGTCCTGCTCCCAGTGGTTCCTGCAAGAAATCGTGATTTTTATTGCCGAGGCTCCCTGGAGGCTGAAATGATCCATGGCGGCAGCCTGGGGAGAGAGATAGCAAAAGCTTACTGAGTTCATACAACGATAGAGTTTTACATGAAAGATTCATTTCTTCTGTTATTACCTCGAATGAACCAGTCTAAAGGTGGGTCTTTGAATCCTTCGCATAATGAATAATCCAGGACGATTTCTGCCCTATAGAACCCAGGCTCTTCTATTAGAAAGACGGCCTCATACAAGCCATTGTTTATGTCGTACACGGTCGCCGCCATGTTTGACGGTCCACGGATGTTAACTCGCCAAGAGTCGCCTCCTATTGTTTTATTTCGGTTTTCCACAGAAACCGATTGAATATAAATCTTGCTAAAGAATCCCGCAGGTTTTATGTCCATGCGCTTCACATAGCTTATACTAGCCCGCGTTTGAAGCTTCTCGTCCAGCGGTGTTGCATTCCAGAGCACCTGCCTTAAGCACTGTCCAATCATATTCTTCCAGTCATATCTGCGCATGCGTATTTGGCACCAGGCCAGTTTGAAATCGACAACATTTTTTCTGTATATTAGCCTTTCATCTTCGACCGATATTTCAGCGTCAGCATACAAAATGAGATAAATGAGGGTGACTTTTGCCAGTGAGGTCATGGCATGACAGTCTCAATAGCAGAGACATTTCAAGGTTCAACTGTTTTATGTTAACTTGGACGAAGACATTAAAAACTGATGATTCCAGTAGGTTTGAGATTCCTTGTTCCAATGCAGGTTACAGTACCTAGGAAAACCCTACAAGTGAAATGAAAGAAAACCTATTTAAAAATGAAATAGATTCTTTAAATTACACACGTTTCCAAGTTTTTGTTTTTTTTTTTTTTAACTTCGGGTAGAAACTTTTACCAAGGGTAAGAAGGAGATTTAATATCTCATATAGGCCTGGTTTTCAAGGTGATTCCTCAGGCTTCAGAAATCCCAATACAGTCTAAAAGTAGCCAATCCCGTGACGCGAGTTTTACTGTTGTAGGCAGCCTGAGCGGTAGCCTGCGTAGCAAGCGTTCTCTTACGAAGAGCTTCTTCCGTATCCTGGCCGCGCGCAGATTGAAGCGAGAGTAAAAAAACAATCGACCAAGGAGGTCACTCCAATGCGTGTGCAGCCATAATGCGGAAAAAAAGCTTTAAGTATGGGAAAGGTTGCTACGCAGGCTATCCAAGCGGCTTTGCACTCATTCATATTGTATCCTCCACGAAAACATCTACGCAACACAGTGGGTAGTATCCGTGGGAGAGCTGGAAATCAAATCTAAAAATAGTCTTGAGAGGGTTCATGTATACTTGTAAGTCTTATGTGGGGGTTTAATTCTCCTACCCGTCATCCTTTCTTGACTCCAGATTCTCCTAACTTACATCAAGAAAGTTTAGTAGAACTAGTAAGGAGAGTTAACATGTTCGTCTTGGGGTTGTTACGATAAAAAACTTTTACGTAAAATGATTGGCATGAGTCTCTGCAGTGAAGTTATTATTTTCCTTGGTTCGCCAATGTTGTATTTTCACTTACATCAACAATGCTTTTCACATTTGCTCCGCCGAGACGTTGCTTTGATTCAAATATTCATAACAATATTTTACTTTGAGTCTACGAAGAAACTGACAAATTCTATCATCTCTGTTATTTCTAAATAGAAAACATGGCTACATACCTACAAGTGCAGATGCAGATATCAAAAATCTTGGCAATTCTATCCCTCGAGTTCCGTTGTCAGAGGTTCGTTCCTAATAAAGGCGTGAACTTGTGATCCTATCTCGCGTCATTCATTTTTTATACGCCCAGATCTCTTGAACAATTGTCACACATGTAAGGCTGTGTCATGAAACAGGTCAAGTTGCTAGCTTGAATGCACAGGTATATCAAGACTTTATTAAAGTCCTTTACACGCGGCTTTAGGTCGTTACGAACTGAACGGCCAGCTTGCGCTCGACAACTTTCCACTCAGGTTTTGAGCGCGGACATTTGTCTTGCTCCTATATATCTGAAGTCAGCGTTCGCAGATCACTTTTTACGCAAGTATAAGGTACATCTATCAGTCTAGCTTTTTTCTCTTGAAGAGCTCTGGTGGCAGTTTGCATAAAATCACATCACTGAAACTCACAGACTCGGTGTTGTTTTTAAATAACATGCGCGCCGCTATACGTACAGATAGAAAAAACAAACAAACACGAGATCGTCTAGAATGCATCACTGTCTGTGTTTTCTGAAGCTTCGGATCATTTCTTGAGGAGAAAAAAACCTGTTTTTTGAAGGAAACAGTTTTTTCATCAAGGTAGAAAGTATTATATCTTGTCAAGCAAGAAGGTGAAAGGTTAGGGAGGTTACTCACTCACTCATGTTTTCATGCCTGAGTTGCAGACAAAAGGCTTCATCGGTTAGGTTAGATGCTGCCTACACGTAATCAGTTTAGAGCGAGCGGGTGCGAGGTGGGAACGATTTTTTTGCTCTTGGTCCAATTTGTGCGCAGTCAGAATGCGGAAAAGGTTAAGCTGACGGTAGAGTGTTCGCTCACAACAAAATTGCGAAAACAGAAACCGAAGCCAAACATTATTTGAACTGCGGGCTGAGAAGCTAAAAATCTGCTCTTACAGAACGGTGGTTTATATTCTTTGCTTTTTGCT